ACATATTTCGGACATTTATCAAACATGTTTAATAATTCAAATTTATACTGAACAACGGGTTGCTACAGACGGCAGCACCAAGACATAATACTACATTAAAAAGTTTGGGAATAAATTATTATTAAGACAAATTGTAAATTTGAACAAGTGTAATAACAGTTTTAACATACGTTACGGTTTCTGAGCATTTTAATTTGTATCAATTAATTTGAAATGTCTGAAATAAATGTTTTCTTGTTATGCAGACTGTAAGCTCCTTGTAAATTTGTTGCAGGTGCGTTGATGGTAAAAATGGCTATGTCTATTAATTCAACACAACATGAGAATTCTGGAGAATCCAATAATGATATGGTAGGTAGTTCCATATCTGCAGCTACGGTAGAAAACTTCCCCAAATTTTATAGTAAACAGCAGGACTACAGAGTTCAAGACGAATTAAGATCTCTACACTCCCCCATACACAAAGACCAACAGTATTGCCATCTTCAGAATAGCTCTCAGAATTTTTCTACACATGTGCATAATACCGTAGTTCTTGAGACACCGATAGAACAGCAGTTCTCCCAACATTATGATCAATATACCCAGTTACCCACACCTACCTCCGTAGGGCTACTAGTACCTGAATCAGAACAGTATCGATTATCTCAGAATATTTGTTTGGATTATTATACACCTGTAAATAACATCATAGATCTTCAAACATCCATAGAACAACCACATTTGCAGCAACATGATGAAGCTAAAGATTCCCATAATCCTACACCTAACGTTGTAAACAATGCAACACTTGTTCTTCAAGAACAAGTCCTTCAGCGCCAAGATGATATTACATGTCCATCCACATCTACCGGTAAGCTTTTACCGACTATCTCTTCACAAACTGATGAAAATAGTGACCCATATGCTACAGATGGAAGCTCAGATATTGATTTTAATCCAAATGATTTTGATTCTTCAAGTTCTTCTGATGAACGTGATCGTCATAGTTCAATTGCAAAACAGCAAGATGTCCTATTTTTTGCGGAAGAAAAACCAGAAATCGCCAAGTCCCGTAAGCGAAAAAGTAACCCAGATAATTGGAGGAGAAATAAAATAAAGAAATTACGAAACTCCGGTAAGGCCTATGTAAATTGGAAGTCCAAAGAGGTTTCAGAAAGGATTATGAAACCGCCATGTCCCATAACACGCAGACTTAAATGTCAAACGAAATTTCACGAAACACATCGCGTCCAGATATTTCAAGATTTTTGGAAACTAGGAGATATTAATTATCAGAGAGAATTTGTTTTGAGGAACTTAACTGTAAAGCCTACAAAACACCCCAGAAAAAAAAGGACGCAATTGAACTTCCAGAAAGTGGTACTTTAAGCAGTGTTACTGAAAGTCGTAGAAAACTATCCATTTTTATACTTTTCCACAAGAAAATTGTCCAGTCAATAGAATCAAGGTATGTCAAACGTTTTTCTTAAATACTCTGGGAATAAGTCATCAAATCGTCAAAACAGTAGTTAAAAAAAACTCATCATTCAGATTCACTATCGCCACAAGCAGATTTACGAGGTAAAGTACAATGTAATTCTCGATTGCCAAAACATTTTAAGGATTCAGTACGTCATCATATTAACTCCTTTGCTTTGATCGAGAGTCATTATTGCAGAAAAAATAGCACTAAAAAATATTTACCTCCTGACCTCAATATCAGCAAAATGTTCCGTTTATATAAAGCATATTGCAGGGATAACAATATAAGTACCGCAGCTTCTTATGCTATATATAGAGAGGTATTTAACAATGAATTTATTTTTTGGGATTCTTTATTCCCAAGAAGGACCAGTGCGATTTTTGCAACAAATTTTCTAATTCTTCTCAATCAGAAAAGGAAGAACTTCGTTCTGCAATGGAAGTTCATCTTAAAAACAAGGAATTATCTAGGGAAAATAAAGAACTAGACAAAGAGAGAGCTAAAACTGATAATTCGTTTTGCATGGCTATATACGACTTACAAAAAACGTTGTTATGTCCTAAAGCTAAAGTATCTCTCCTTTACTATAGACGTAAGCTCGCATGTTATAATCTGACTGTGTACGATGCCGCTAACAAACAGGGATACTGCTACATGTGGCCAGAATCGCTAGCATGTAGGGGTGCTTGTGAAATTGGTAGCAGCATATTAAGTTTCATTGACGAAATGGTACGAAATGGAATTAAGGAATTCAGTTTCTATAGTGACAACTGCCCGGGGCAAAACCGCAATAGATTTATATATTGTTTGTATATGTATTGTGCCGCCAAATATGACGTTAAAATTACTCACAGCTTTCTAGAGAAGGGACATACACAAAACGAGTGCGACTCGGTATAATACATGGGGTTATAGAAAGAGCTGCTAAAAGCTTTAGTCCACAGCAGTGGTATACATTAGCAAGGACTGCGTGTAAAGTGCGGCCTTATAAAATTAAAGAAATAGCTCAGACAGACTTTTATGATTTAAAGGACATGTTAGCCAAAACTACAAAAAATTGGGATAAAACTGAACATGGTTGCAAAGTCATATTCAGTAATTTAAAAGTTATTATGGTTGACCCAAAATGTCCACACGAACTTAATGTTAAATATAATTTTGAAGAAGATTTCATAAAAATTAATACTCTGGAATTGAAAAGGAGCTACCACAAATTAGATTCATTAGAGACTTATCAACTTAAAATATTAAGAAGCTCACCGGTTCCAATTTCTTCTGCGAAATATAAAGACTTAATGTTTTTGTGCGAAAACAAAGTTATACCTACGGAATACCATACTTTTTTCACTAATCTTCAAGGTAGCAACAATCCCGAACCAGAAACTGATGAAGATTAATTTAATATTAGGTTAGATTATTAATTAACATATTATTTGACTATTTCACAGTATTTTTTTTGGTATTTTTATTTTGAATTGTAAACCTTTAATGAAAATTAAAAAGTTGTAAATGTTACTAATTTTTATTGTTTGTATCCCATGTTGACCTTAATTTTTTGTAAGCTTGAAATTTATAAATGCAGAAGTAGTGTATGTACCAAAATCGCACTTACAATAGTTCGGCAGTAGAATTTCTAAAACAGTAGTATCCTAAGTCACACTTTTTGGAAAAAAACTGTCATTTACTTGTTTCATTCCTAATAACATATTTAAAAGCTTCTTAATATAACATAATAAAACAATTTTATCATTTACTCCAATAATTTTTAAATTATGCCACATTGAAATATTAAAATTGCTCTCCTGTAAAATATCTTAAATGTGAGTTAAGCTAGTTCTGCATTCAGGTGATGATATATATATATATATATATATATATATATATATATATATATATATATATATATATATATATACATATATGGATCACCAATCTTCAATGAGGGACGTCGCAATAAGAACAAGAAACACCAGGTAATTGTTCACCAATCTTTCGAGTAACTCACAGATTCATCCATTCAATCAAAATAGGCATACAAATTTCTATCGTTGAATCTACACCAACTACACGACTCCTTTAAAATTTTAACAAAGCAAAGTGGCCCCAATCCCTAATATACCAAAGCGCTGGACATCTGCATTTACTTTATTAACCAAAAGGCTATCAATAATTACCTTTTTTAAGGAATGGTTATCTCTATTGCCAAAAAATATATCCCCCGATGTTTTAAAAGGAGTACATCCTAGACTGGATGGACGAAAATCAAAAACTAGATGACAAATATTCGAAGTCAGAGAGACTTAATAAATGGAAGTCTACGGTACCACATATTGGTTTCTTCCATTTCAGTCGAAAAGCATGAAGCCAGCAGAATAATTGAGAACTCTGGAGGTTTAACTGACTAAATTCATATATCGGATATAAGAAGAGTTCTTAAAAAGCGTAAAGTAAATACTCCAGCAACATCAAAATACTCACGTGCCTTCTCATTGGATAAAATAAATAAAGTACATAACCAAACCAAAACAGGAAATGAAATTGGCTTCGATGGAATGTATCCTGAATTTATAGTCCACAACGATACAAAAACACGGTAGTGGCTTAAGAAAGCAGGAGGTAGTACAGCTGTACTATCTGCAGAATTCAAAAAAACAAAAATTATCACAATTCAGATTTGAGCACCTTGACAAAGACAACAAGCTGCCTGAAAGTTATCGACCTGCTGCCTTACTCATTTGTTGTTATAAATTACTGACACGACTTGTATATAACAGAATATATAACATTATTGAGCTTGCTGTACCAATTAAGCAAGCTGGTTTTAGAGGACAAAGCTGCTGTGATCAAATGCTGTTATTAGCTGCATTTATTGAAGCTGGCTTTAAAATACGTGAAAAATCAGCCATAACATTCGTGGACCTAACAGCTACCTATAACTCTATGCGGAGAGAGTATCTGGTTTATTATGTCGATGAAAATCATACTGTGCCTTAAAACTTGCCAGCTAACAGACAATTTACTAACCAACAAACTGTTTCAGGTATATGTATATATAAATGAGAGTAAATGTAATACGGTAAAAATATATGAAAAATGAGAAATAAGTAATTTACACTTTCAAAATGTTTGTGCAACATTTTTTTGTATAGAATTAGGACGAACAACATTAAGACAAGGTATTTAAGTATATTAATTGGGAATCATTTTTAGCTAAAAAGTAAACGAAGCTAAGGAAATAAAGAATGAAAATATAAGTTTTGCAAAAAGGTGGTCTATATCAGCAATTTAAAAAATAAAATATCAAAGATATCTGGAAAGAAAATAATTTCAAAAATTTCAAAGCTTTTGGCTTCTTTGAAAAGAAAGAGGTTCTTGCATAATTGTTTGTTTTTTAATAATAAGTATTCGTGCTGCATAAATTTAAATAACAAACACGTGGTTCTACTGTTCATTTTTGAAATCAAACATTAAATAAATGATAACATGTTTGAAGGTTAGTCGACGCTCTTATCAAAATTTTAAATTGTGTACTTACCGCTCACCTCTGGACCGTTTTTCTCCTAAATATTTAAATCCAATTATACTAGAATTATCACAGTAATCGCGAAAATATCTTCTTAATCGCTTCCAAGAGTTTTTTTTTGCATATCTGTTATTATTGGCACCTTCACTATTCGTTGAATAACCTTTTAAGGGAATCTCACTTTCCATCGTGTTATATTATGCACCACTATTTTATAAATCGTCCGGTAACTAACAAAATTACATCACTATCGTATAAGATTAATGCTGCCGCTTCTGAGTGCGCTGTAACACTGAACTTGAAGGATTTTTGCAGTACGGAACCGTATGATATACGCAGGAAGTTATACTTTGTTTATTGTTCGATTTTATATAGTGATTTGTATTGTACGATATAGTTTGTAGAATGTTATAAAATAAGTTCATACAAAAATGTATATTGAAATAATGAAGTGAAATATCGTTTGCGTAGTATAATTTCATTACATTGTTTAAATTTTTTTTGTTAAAATTTAAATGAACGTAACGTTCAACAAAGTACATGCTATTATTAAACAAAATAACTTAATTGCATACTCGTATAGGAAGTCATAAAGTAAGGTATAAACTATTGTATAAATAATAGTTATCATACAAAATTTTGTTTTCATTATTATCTATTATCAAAAAATATCATTTTAAAAATAACAGATCATACCGTCACTCTCAGAGTTTCTCAACCTTTCAGTATTCATATATAAATATGTATATATATATATATATATATATATATATATATTATATATATATATATATATATATATATATATATAAAACAACTAATTAAAAATGTTGATTACTCAAAAACTGGAGAACTACACAAAATTAATGAATTTATTAATCAAAACTACGACATTTTTGAATATATACCTACATATATATATATATATATATATATATATATATATATATATATATATATATATTTATATATATATATATATATATTTATATATATATATATATATATATATATATATATATATATATATATATATATAATGGCTATATACCCCAGCGTGGGGTTAAACCGCAAATGCTTTCTAGATCCTATTTCTTAAGTGGATCAGTCTTTTTTTGTTTATCTTATCTTCTTGACAATATCTCTCCATTTTTTCCTGTCTCTAGTTCTTCCTCTCCATTCACTGACTCCTGCCCTTTGGAGGTCTTCTTCAACTTCTTGCAGCCACTTTGATCTCGGTCTTCCCCTTCTCTTTCTTCCTCCTGGATTCCATTCTATCATTGCGTATGTCACTGCCTCATCGCCTGCTCGCCAAATGTGACCTAACCATCTAACTCTGCATTGCTTTATTTTAGTTACGATGTCTTCCTTAAGTTCTTCCTTAATTTCTGCATTTGTTCTGCTTCTATATTCATTTTGCTCTGTTCTGATTGGTCCTAGTATGGTTCTCATAATCTTTCTCTCTGCAATTCTTAAGTCTTCTTCATCTTTTTTAACTATCGTCATTGTTTCCCCTGCATATAATAATATTGGTCTAATTATGGTGTTATAAATGCTCATCTTGCTTTTTTTAGTAAGTGTTTTGCTTTTAAGTAATCTTTTGTTTGCAAAATAAGCTTTATTCGCTGCTAATATTTTTTCTTTTATTTCGGATTTCCTTTCTCCGGATTTACTTATTGTAACTCCTAGGTATTTGAAGTATTCTACTTCTTCAAACTCGGAACTTCCTATTTTGATTTTTTCCTTCATTGGTTTTTTCCCTAATCTTAAAATTTTTGTCTTTTCTTGATTTAATCTTAGCCCCATTACCTCCCCTTTCTCTTTTAATTCTTCAAGCATTTCTTTCATTATTTTTCTGTTCTTTGCAATAATAGCAATATCATTTGCATATGCAATTATTTGACCACCTCTTGTTCTGAGATTTCCTTTATTTATATTTCGCAGTACATATTCTAATGCTAGATTAAATAGCGTTGTTGATAAGGCATCTCCTTGTTTCATCCCTTTATTTATACTGAATTCTTCTGTCTCTCCTCTTTGTGTCTTTATGCTTATTTTTGTAGTTCTCATTGTCATTTCTATTAATTTTCTGAGTTTATGTGGAATTTTTAATTTTTTAAGTGCTGTCATTAATACGTTCCTTTTAATTGAATCAAATGCCTGTTTGAAGTCTATGAATAACATTTCCAATTCTAATTTATACTCGTTTGCTTTTTCCATTATTTGTTTTATTGTGTGTATTGCATCTATTGTAGATCTTCCTTCTGTGAATCCACATTGGTACTGTCCTACTGTCTTCTTTGTGATCTTTGATAACCTCTTTTTTATTATTGATGTCAATATTTTATATGTTGTATTTAGTAATGTTATTCCTCTATAGTTTTCACAGATTTGTTGGTCTCCCTTTTTATGTACTGTTATGATCTGTCCTACCTCCCAGTCACCTGGCATTTTCTCTTCTCTCCATATATTTTTCCATAGTGCCAGTATTTTTTCTCTTAGTTCCCTTCCCCTGTATTTTATTAGTTCCATATTAATTCCATCTTTACCTGGGGCTTTTCCATTTTTGCTTCTCTGTATTACTTCATCCAATTCCTCTAATGTTGGTTCTTTTGAAATTTCGATGTCTACTTCATTTGCTTCTTCTTCGTGTACTGTTTCCTCCTCGTCATGCATTTCTTCTTCTGTTGTTTCCTCCGTCAAAAGCTCTCTGTAGTAATCTCTCCATACTTGCTTGTATTCTTGGTCCTCTATTATCACTATTCCCTCTCTATTTTTTATTCCGTTTGTTTTGCCCTTGTATTTTTTGTTTTGTTCTTTAATCTTTTTGTAAAAACTTTTCGTATTTCTGTTTGTTCTTTCCTGCTCTATTTCCTGCATTTTTTTGTCTACCCGTCTTCTTTTATTTTGCCTTATCACTTTCTTAGCATTCCTTCTTAATTTTTCATATTCTTCTCTGTCTTCCTCTTTATCTGTTCTTAGCCATTTATTTCTGGCTTGCACTTTTTTTCCTGTTATTTCTCTACATTCTTGGTTATACCATTCGTTTCTTGTTTTAGCCTGACTTTTACCTATCTGCATATTTGCACCTTCTTCTATTGATTTTTTGATCGTCACCCATTCTGTGCTGATTTGCTGATATCTTCTACTTTACATTTCTCTTTTATTTGAACTGTTACTGCCTCTTCATATTTTTTTCTTACTTCTTCATTACTCAATTTATTGAAATTCCACTTTTTATGTTGGTTTTTTTGTTTTGTTTCAATTTTAACTTTTTGTCTTATAATGGCTGTGACCATGTAGTGGTCTGAATCTGCACACGCACCTCTGAACGTTCTTACATCTTTTATTGACGATTGTTTTCGTTTATTAATCATTATGTGATCAATTTGACTATATGTTTTCTGATCCGGTGACCTCCATGTTACCTTATGTATTTTAGCGTGTTCAAATTTTGTCGAGCTGATTAACAAATTTGTTCTTGTTGCTAGGTTACATAGTCTTTGCCCATTGTCATTCGTGTTTTCGTGTATTGTATGCTTTCCTGCAATTTGCTGTAAAAAGTCCTCTTTTCCAATCTGGGCGTTGAGGTCTCCCAGTACAAATATGACATCTACTTTGGGTATTTTTTCTATCTCCTCTTCGACCTTATCATAAAAGATTTCTTTTTCGTCTGCATTGCTTGTTTCTGTGGGGGCGTATAAATTCAAGACTGATATATTAAATGGCTTGCTGTTGACTCTAACATAGGCCATCCTTTCGCATATTTTCTTGAAATTTATAATTTTCTCTCTTAGGTGACTAAGTATCATGAATCCCACGCCTTTATGCCCTTGCTTCTTTCCTCCTGAATATAACATTGTTAAGTCTTGTTTGTCAATCTGTCCCTGTCCCTCCCAGCGTAATTCTTGCAGTGCTGCAATATCTATTTTATACTTTTTGAGTTCCTTTCCTATTTCTAGCATTTTTCCTGGAGCTAGCCAGGCAAGATTCCTTACACTATATATATATATATATATATATATATATATATATATATATATATATATATATATTATATATTATATATATATATATATATATATATATATATATATATATATATATTTATATATATTTATAAGCGAGGTTCCTATACAGCCTCTACCGCCTCTAGCATTTATCCATTCGTCTTTTTTCATGGCTCTGTCTCTCATTCTGTGTCGTACATTTTCTTTCCAGGCAACTGAAGACCTTTCTCTTCTTCTTCTTTGGTGTGGATGTAATTTAAAGCTTTTTTTGGCCACCTATCTTCATTCATTCGCTTCACGTTACCATACCACACTAGTTCTCTCGTTTTAATTCTGTTAACACTGGAATATACAGTATTTGTTCTGCTTCTAATAACTTCATTCCAGACATAATCTTTTTTGGATACACCACACGCTCTCCTTAGAAAATTCATTTCTACTACTTCTATTATTTTTCTATCTTTTTTCGTGATCTCCCAAACTTCTGCCCCATAAGTCATAATAGGCTTTACCAAGGTTCGGTATCGAAGACGTATCGTATGCCTTCTCTAAATCTATAAACAATAGGTGGGTAGATAGATTCCTTGCCTTCCGTTTTTCGATTACCTGCTGCAGAACAGATATACCATCAGCGCACGATCTTCCTGCACGAAATCTATTTTGTTCTTCAATGTTTTCGTATTCTGATTCTATTTTTTCTTTTATTGTTCGACCGTACAACCTTCCCACTGAGCTGATAACAGTTATTCCCCTAAAATTAGGGCATTTATATTTATCCCCTTTCTTGAATATTGAGCTGATGTATCCAATATTCCAATCATCAGGGATATTTTGTCCTTTTAAGCATTTGTTAAATAGTTCAACCAATATCTCATGTGATATTTTTGGTCCATACTTTACCAACTCAATTGGGATGTCTCCATGCCCTGCTGCTTTACTGTTTTTCAATGTTTTGAGGGCCTTGTTTAACTCTCCGGTTGTTATATTCAATTATTTGTATGTGTTCGGATATTTCTTCAATTTCGATCTCTTGGAATTTACAATTATCCTCTGTCAGTAAGACAAATAATTCCACTGTTTCAGATCTATTAACTGTAAATTATATTTTTCCTTTCCTTTCCTCCGAAGCAACTTTATCACCTCTGAAGTTTGCCAAAATCTTGTTCCACTCATATACC